TAGAGCTGATTCAGAGCTACAGAAAAGGTCCTTACAAAAATACCGGCATTTCCCTTAGATCCGGAGAAATTCCTCGAAAACGTAATCGTATTATAAATTCAAAGTATTATTCATTTAGTTTTTTATTACGGAATTTATTTGAGAAACTATTGACTTTAGGAGAAAACGGTGGATACATGTTTTGCAGGAAATTTAATGAGCTACAAAAAAGTCTTATCACGTTTTTAGATTAAATTAATAGTTTTGGAGATAAATCGTTTTGTTAATGAATTTTCTGGATGCATCAATTGATTAATGAGTCATAAATTATGGAGTGGACAAATAGATATTTTTATAATCATAAATTATTGTTTTTAGAGTGTCCCCCGGCTCAGTAAATCCTAATTGTCTAACACTCTGGAAGGAAATTGGCGTGAAAAGTAATGGAAAGCCCTTGTCAACGATTCAAGTGCCAAAAAGTCTGGAAAATGAAAATTCACGGACTCCTATCGAAAAAACCAACGGATCAATCACAGGTAATTTACCAAGAATAAATGAAAACTAACCCAATAAATTCTAAGTGCAAATCTTGATGAATGAGTTTTTTTTCAAGAATTTTTTGATGGAATAAAAATAATTAAGTGATTGATTCTCTAAAAAAAATCTCTTTGATTGCAACGACAGAGTCAGAACGTCAGAGTCTCATGAGTCTCCCGGAGGATTCAGATACAGATGCAACCCAGGATCCCCAAAGAACCGTGGAGAACCCCGAAACCTCTGGAATGTACTCCATCCCCCAGAATAAACGTCGGAGAGTCAGGAAAAGAAGGAGTAAACCTGATCCAGAGCCCCAACAGCCTCCACCGATTGTTACTCCATCTCCAAGGTCCAATCCAGTCTTCAACTCCCCTTTCAGCCCAAAAATAAAACCTAAACATTTCAAATTTAATTGGGAAGACAATGAAGAGGTCAATAACACAACTGAGAGAAATGGAGAAACTGGAGTTCCAGAGTTGAATACTTTATTGAGTCTTAAGAATTGTCAGTTTCCTGTGACTTTTGTGGGTCAGAAGACGAAATGTGAGGGTCCAGTCCAACAAGGACACGAGGGCAGTCATCAGAGTCCAGCCAGAACCGGAAATGAAATTTTAGATAGCAATTCATCGAAAAAAATGGATTTTTCAAATGTCAATCCTCTGGATTATCCCATTCACAACCAGGATATAATGGAGGGAGATGTTGTGGCTTTCAGAGTGAGTGGATCTTGTTGAAAAAGTATTCGTCATGAATTTTATTCGATTGAGTGAATCAAATAAGAGAATTTTATTTAGGGAGTAATTCCTTTGTCGAGGACAACTCCGAATCCAAGGGAGATAGAGAAATTTTCATGGGGACTTTTTTGTAGGAAAAAACGAAAGCTAGAAAAAAGTATCGGATTATCATCTTTGTATCTCCGCTGGATTCAGAGATATGTGGAGAAATTAATGGAACAAACTGATGAATAACTATTTAATTGAGTTATTGTTGATTATTTATTCAATTACATTTTGACAGGTTCTCAAGATTGGCTCCGATTATTCTCCTACGATTTCTGGGTACATCGTGGCAGAAAATGTCTCCAGGAATTCCGAACTGGGAACTTATTCCCTGAAAATAATCAGTGAGTATTTGAATCGCTTCAATAGCTTCAAATATTTAATTCCTCGAGGATAAGAACTTTCACAAGATACTGCATTTTTTATTGTTACACTTGTAATGATTTACAGGTGGTGAAGATCAATTGAAAGATCCCGAGGGAAAATTCTCCCTTTTGACAGAAGAAGAGCTGGAAAATTCTGAATCAACTCCGAATAAAAATGAAATTCACACAACTACAAAAGAAGAATTACTCGAATTGCGTTTGATTCATCGCCAAAACACCCAATAAAGTCTAAAAAAATTAATCCGTACTAAAAAATTTTCAGTAATAAAATAAATATTTTATCTGATACAGAATTACTTAATTCTCCGGACATAAATCTGAGAAAATCCCGAATCTCAACGAAATGATAAACATAGTATTTATTTCAGAATATTTTTTTATTATAAACAATGACAATAAATTTTTGAAAAATCAAAAGTAAATGGAGATAAAGTGATGAAAAAATCATAATTTTTTTTTATACTAGGCAGACGCTTTTGATTCTAGTCCAAAAATAATTCTTTCAATGCTAAGATCAAGGAAATGTGGAGTAAAATTGAAACTTTATTGCCAGTAAGATTCCATAAAAAATATATGAAAGGAGCAAAGTTATGAGTCAATCGTGAGAGTACGATTGTTTCACTCGATTTTCCCTCAATTTTTCATTAATTTATTTTCTAATAAATAACGGACAAACAGTTATCATTTGGGAGGTAATTTAATATTCTTTCGAATGAGTATAAAATATAAACGCCTCCTAGATTATGCTAGAATAACATATCCCTAATACTAAAAAAAGTCTCAGTTTATACAAACACGGCTGATTTATAAATAGACTACAAGAATAAAGATTCAATAGTTTATTATTTGAATTTGAATAGTAAATATTTGATGTATTCCATCTTCATGTGATATCGACGTGTTCTAAGCTAGAAATGCGTTTTTTTTAAATTTGTACATGAGCCCAGAAGATAAGACTTCACCTTGACTTGTAATTGACCTGATTGAAAACAAAAGTTTTATTATATCATTACCCAAATAATAATGATACAGGGTATATAAGGAGACCACCGTGGACTCTTCATACCAATAAGCCATGAAATTTCTTCACTTCATTGTTGTTCTATTTGTCGTGCTTTGCGTCGCTGGTTTAGGCCAGGGTAACTATAAATTCAAGTATTTCTAATAATAATAACAATAATAATAATAATAATAATAATAATAATAATAATAATAA